CCCGGGATCCATATGAGAGAAGGGAAAAAGTGACTCCTGGAGGCTGTCCTTTGTCTCAGAAGAACATAGAAAGCTGTTGGCTGAGCGCAGCAGTAGGCAGAATCCAAAAAAAAAAAAAACTCCTGGTTTTCAGGGTCCCTCACTGGGCAAGAATGTGTCGTCCCCACTGCCTTTCTCGACTAAGCCACACCACAGAAACAAGGGCACAGCATCCCTTTGTCCTCTCCCCAAACTACTGAGGAGATGGCTGGGCAGGTAAAGGCGCTGGATGACCTGAGTCAAGCCCCAGGAATCATGGGAAGGTGGAGGTGGAGCACCAACCCCCAAAGACCGTTTTAGCTAATGTGGAGTTGCGAACCTGTGGCCCTAGCATGTCAGAGGCTGAGGCAGAGGACTCTGAGGCCAGCCTGGACTACACAGTGAGATGCTGTCCCCCTCCCCGGCACCCAAACAGTTTTTTTCCTCCCTGGGGGCATAGTTCTGACAAACAACTTCAGTTAACTTCTAAATTATCACAACTTTGTGAATATTCATAGCAGGGCCTTATACTATGACTATTTGTTTCTGTTTGTATGTGTGTGTACATACGTGTGTGTGTGTGTGTGTGTGTGTGTGTGTGTGTGTGTGTGTACTCATATGAAGGCCAGAGGTGAACTTCAGGGGTCTTCCTTAGTTGCTCTCTCTCTTGGGACAGATCCCTCAGTTTTATCCGGAACTTGCTGAGGTAGCTGACTTAGACAGGGTCCCTCCCATCCTGGCCTCCCCAGTGCGGGGATTACTAACACACCCACCCCACCACACCCAGCTTCTTCTTTACTGAGACGGCTCCCAGCCCTGATTATCTTGACCCATACACCTCTTTTGTTTCTCCAAAATCTAATAAATCAACAATTCTGATAATCAAACTGTCATTTAAGTCGTAGGTGTCTACTGAAGGGTCAGACTGGGGCATCTCCTGTCTCTAGTTTTCCCGTTCTGTCTGGAACAACTTTCTCATGTCGCGATGTCCTTTCATCGAGGGAATGTCCGCCCTGTCTCTTCCTTGAGCTTCTGGTTTCTCTTCCCCTCTCATCTTTCCCGGTTTCCTCCTTCATTTTAGGGGAGCACTTCCCCTAGGAGCTTCCTGAGAAAGGGTAAATTTTTAAGCGCCCTCAGAACTCTCAACCTAATTCTACTTGGTTAGCTTGCCTACGTGGAGAATATCTCCCAGAATTCTGCTCTGCTGTCTTCTAGCTTCTCGGGGCTTCCTTTTCTCTTCCTTTCTTTTTTATCGTTTGTGTGTGCAACCGTTGCACACACAGGGAACTCAGAGGACAAGTTGTGGGACGGGAGCTGGTCCTCTCCTCCGTGTGTGTCTCAGGGATCAAACGCAAATTGTCAGGCTTGGCTGCAAGCTCTTTTGCCCTCTGAGCAGTCTTGCCAGCCTCGACACTTCTCTTTAACCTATATTTAACCACATAACCACATTTCCCATGTGATTTTCTTTTGCTTGCTTTTTTAAAACTCCTCAAAAGATCATCAATTTATGAGTTCTTCTGTGTGTTTTTAAAATGAATATTATTACGAATCTGTGGGAATGAATTATGAATGTGTCTTTATCCATTGAGCGTTCTCACCAGCCCTGGCTGTCTTTTTTTTTTTTTTTTAAATCATATATTACTCTTTAATTAAAATTTTGCTTAACAATGTTTTCTTGTCAATGGGATAGTTTCAAATATTTAAATTTGATAGAAAAGCATTTTCAACAATGTACCATTGTAAGAAAAAACTTTAGAAAAAATCCTATCCTTTATATGGCGTGAGGTGGAAAATGCCACGAAGATCTCCTGCCCCACCCTGAGGCCCCTTTCTGAGTGTCTCACGTGGGTCTAGTGTACTTTAAACAGAACTTTCAAAAACAATTTTGTGTTTAAAATTGCTATCTTGATCCTTTGATTCCTTCTTCCTTCCTTCCTTCCTTCCTTCCTTCCTTCCTTCCTTCCTTCCTTCCTTCCTTTAAAATTTGAGACAAGGTCTCTCTATTATGTAGCCCTGGATGTCTTGGAACTCATTATCTAGACCAGGCTGGCCTTGAACTCACAAGATCCACCTGCCTCTGTATCCCAAGTGCTGAGATTAAGGGAATGTGCCACCATGCCATGCCTTTGACAGTCGCTCTACAGTTGTGTGAATATAGACAAATGTGCATACTCGGTTGGCCACATCGAATGACAACTACATTATCAGCTTGGACTATGCAGCACATCCTGGTTACATAGAGCCCAGGACATGGAGGGGAACTGTCTGCCCTTAGGTGAAAAGGTGAGTCGGGGCAATATGGAAATATCAAACCTGGATGTGGGGGTGGGGGAGAGTGTGAGTCCTGGCCCACACTACGAACTGATTGTGACAAACAGGTGATAAATGTGACCCTCCATTACTGTCTCACAGTAGATCCCTACATCCATGAGCGACCCCACGTCTAGAAGCTTTCTGCTTTAAACCAGTGGCCAGAGAGTAGTGGCCTGAACCCAGAACCTGGGAGGCCACTCTGGTCTTGGGCAGGCACCAAGTCATCCAGCGTCGGTTGTATGTTTAGGAGTCCTGTGAAAAAGAACTGGAAAGAATGGAGAGAAAGGAATCCCACTGGCCCCAGGAAGTCCTCTCAAGAGTACATCACATGCTGG